ATGATTTCCGAGTCGTGGTTGGCTAACTGAGTTTTAATTCGGGATTGTTGTGCTTACGTAATAACGTACAAAAAATATCAAGAAGAAAAAAATCTATGATCATAAGAGTTTGCACGATAATATTAAATATTAATTATATGTTTGGTAACATAATCAACCCCGTTACCTTAGAGTACCATATATAACTGTTTACGTGTCACATAGAAAGTTTATGTCAGATATGTAATTTACAAACCTACGTACGTACGTACAGTATTTCCAAAAAATAGCCTCAGGTGAATTGATTGTTTAGCCAGCATTAACGTATACGTACTAACTTAATCCTTACTCTAATTTAGGCCGATCGACACCTGAGGCAAGAAGCACAACATCTAAGTAGCCTGCTGAAGTGACACCTGATTGAAATTAAGCTCCTAAATTTAGATCTTCATGCGTTAACTCTGGTCAGGTGCTAATTTAGATCTTGTATATGTATAGCGATAGTACTGCATTTGGAGATAATCTTGAATATGTATCGGTATTTAAATACGTATTAAGAAATTCTAAAAAAAGGTGTGACTTAAAAAAATCTTTTAATGTACGTACGTACGTACACTCAGTATCCCTAGAGATGTTAACCTTGAAAGGATCGGTAAGGGCTCGAAGGACTCGTTCTTTAAAATTACATGAAAACACAATACATTTTATAGGACTTATATCCTGAATTGAACTATTATTTGTTATACAATACAAGATTAATTTGGTTATTCGATAGATTTAAGTCAGGATCTGATACAGTATTGTATTTTCATTTATGTTTCCATGTGATTTAAGGTCCGTCATTTAAATTCTAGTGTTGGATCGGACTGGATTCGCAATTAACATCCCTAGGCATCCCTTACTATGATACCCCTTGAAAAAGACCCGACTCGGGCATTATTCTAAAAAGATATATACATACTTGAAATTCTTATTAAACTAATATTAGAAATATTAAAAACCCGCCGCTATGTAAAGTATTCATGAGACTTGACGATTTTCTTAATAATATTCCGCCTACTATAGTCAATGACGGGTAATACAGTACGTCTTACGTACGGGATGCACGTACGTATATAGCAATTAATAACAATAGTATGTTAAATTTATTATTAATTATATATTTACATTATGCATATTGCGTACCTGACACACTGTTGTAACGTTACTCAATATCGTGATAATGTGGTTAATCGAAAATGATGACATAAATGATCTTTTGATTAACAAACGCCAATTACCTCTATTATAAAAAGACCAAACTTTCGTTTCTCTGAGAAAAAAAAATATATATATTAAAAAAAATATATATTTTTTTTTCTCTCTATCCTTGGCTACAAGTTTGGTTTATGTACGATATTTGTTGATAAATTTATTGGCACAAGTCATGTTATCATAACAATCTTGTTATATAACAGCCAGTCTGATAGTTAGCCTGTCCTATTGTTATCGCGCTATTCTTTCCATTGGCCTTGAAAAATATAACGTAATTTCTCTATTTTTTTGTTTACATCTTTGTCCGTGATCACGTGACATCTTTTAATATCTTTGTATATAGAAAAGAAAAATGCCGAAAGAGCAAAGCAGTATAATTACAGGCCATAAGCCTACTGATTTCAACCAAGAAGACCCTTTAACGCTCGTCATAGTACAGGTAGCTTATTCTTGCTTTGTTAAATTATCTAATCTATGCTAAACTTGTATTAAATGTTCTTCCTTTTCCGTTTCGTGTAACAGATCGTCCTCATAGTGATTTTCGCTCGTGTTCTTAACATTGCACTCTCGCGTTTTCGCCAACCTCGCGTCATATCTGAAGTTATAGGCGGTATTATTCTGGGTCCCTCGGTCATGGGTCGCATCCCTGGATTCATGGATGTTATATTTCCTACTCAATCTTTAACTTACCTTAATTTACTTGCCAATTTGGGTTTGATCCTCTTTTTATTTATTATTGGAGTTGAATTAAATCCTATAATGTTACTCGAGAACGCGAGAACTGCTATTACTATCTCTGCCGCTGGCATCATTTTACCCTTCTCTCTTGGTATTGGTGTTAGCTACGGATTATATCAAGCTATGAACTCTATTGAATATAACGTACCTTTTTCAAGTTTCATGCTTTTTATATGTGTCGCTATGTCCATTACGGTACGCTTAAAGTTTCTCTTTTTACCCCCGTGCATCCGCTTTCAAAGATTAATATTTTGATTTTCAGGCATTTCCCGTACTTGCCCGTATCTTGTCTGAGCTTAAACTTCTTAGGACACCGGTGTACTGATCATTCGATTCATAAATTAAATTAAATTAAATTCGTCATGTCATTTTTATTCTAACCTTTTTTTTTTTTTTTTTTCTAACCTCCTAAAGTGGAGTCACTGCTCTTACTGCCGCTGTTGGTGATGACATCGCGGCTTGGGTACTTCTTGCCTTAGTAGTTTCAATCATCAATGCTACAAATTTCCTTTCTGCTCTTTACACTTTCTTGCTTTGCGCCGCTTGGACTTTGTTTGTTGGATTCGTCGTTCGTCCAATCTTAATGATGCTTATTGTCAAAACTGGCAGGTCTGAGTTTATTCTAAGGTGGTTTTTTTTCCCTTCATCTGTTTTCTCTCTTATTAAAATTCTTTTAATAATTTAGTAATGACTTTGGTGGTCCATCGGTAACAATGGTGGCGATTACGTTAATGCTCGTTTTAATATCCTCCTTTGTTACAAATATCATTGGAGTGCATTATATTTTCGTATGATCTTCATTTAAAATTTCTTTTCGTGTACTCTTGTGATCGTTGTTAAAGTTTAAATTCTAAACTAGGGTGCTTTTATTATTGGCGTGATTGTACCACATGAGAGCGGTTTCGCGATAGGCATTACTGAAAAAATTGAAGATCTGGTCAGCGTCTTGTTTTTACCAATTGTACGTGTTTTTTTTTTTTTTAATAATTTTACGCATTTATCGTTATATGAGTGCTTTTCAATAGAAAAGGGGGAAAAGTTTTTAGTAACTTTTTTTTAAAATTTTAAATTAAAATATCTCAATAACTAGTAAATTAAATTTAATAAAATTTTTTTTAATTTTATAATTTTGTAAAATTAAAATAAAAAAAAATTATTAAATTTGGTTTAATAGTTGTTGAGATATTTTAATTTAAAGTTTAAAAAACTTTTACTTGGAAGAAATTCCCCCTTTCTATTGAAAAGCTCCCAATATGCTTAAAATTTAATTTATTTCATTTTATTTCATTTTATTTCATATATTTAATTTTATTTAATTTTATTTAATTTTATTTAATTTATTTAATTTATTTTTTTAATTTACTTCATTTATTTAATTATTTACTTAATTTATTTAATTTATTTAATGTAGTATTTTGCTCTTTCCGGTCTTAAAACTCAACTCGGTTTATTGAGTGATATTTATATATGGGGCTGGCTTCTTTTGGTGATTTGTGCCGATATGTTTGGTAAAATTACTGGTGCCACTCTCGCATCTAGATTAAACAGACTCACCTGGAGAGAATCTCTTACTATCGGTGTTTTCATGAGTTGTAAAGGGTTATTTTCACTTCAAATTATTTTTTTATCCCTTTGATAACTCATATTTGTTCGCTTTATTTATAAAAATGATACCACTTTCATTTTTTTTAAAGTTTGGTTGAGTTGATCGTACTTAATATTGGCTATGATGCCGGTGTGATTAACAGCAGAGTTTTTGCTATTATGGTGACTGTGTATGTATACCGATACTATATATATATATATATATGTTGTACGTCAATTATTTAACCTGAAGTAATTATTAATTTTGACGTACAACATATATATTATTCTTATGTATAACATTATTCCTATAATATTAAAATTTAATTTTTTATATAGTGCCCTTATAATCACATTTACTACGACTCCTCTGGCGATGTGGCTTTATCCAAGAGAATATAGAAAAGCATTAGAACGTTCGCGAGCCGGTCAGGTCACAACTTCGATTGAAGGTGCTTCTTGGAAAGAATCTCGTGCTTCCGACGATACGTTGATCGATCTGTCAAAAAATAAACGTTTACTTGTTGTATTAAATAAGATTGAATGGTTACCGGGCATGATGATGTTGTTACAATTATTACAACCTCTTCCTTTATCTAAACCTTTTCTGAGGACTAGTGAAGTTACTCCTGATAGATCAACTAGGCAGTTATCTGAATCTTCAACTAATAATAATGAACCTCTTACCGTTCATGCCTTACGTCTCGTAGAACTTACTCAACGTATTTCTACTGTGATGAAATTTAATGAAACTGAGGAAACTTTATTACATGATCCAATCATGAACGTTTTTCGAATGTTTGGTCAATTAAACTTTGTTAATATCAAGGCTAATCTTACTATTGTTGCTTTTCATGATTTTGTCAAAGAAATAGTTGAAAATGCTAGAAAAACTAATTCGGATCTTGTTATAATCCCATGGGATGGTGCTGGTGCTGTAATGAATGATTCTGATTCTTTTGATGAAATAATTGGTCCTCGTGGAAAGATACTTAAAGCTCGTGAAAGGAAAGAAACTAGTCCTCAAATTTCAAGTTTTGTACAAGGTGTATTTAACGAACTTCATACCAATGTTGGCTCTTTCGTTGACAGAGGTTTTGGTGTTAAATCACCTCAACATAGTGGCTCTCAAGATTTATCGATTCATGTATTTCTACCTTTTTTTGGTAGTATAGATGATAGAGAAGCTTTGATATTCGTTGTTAAATTATTAGAACATCCTTATGTCACTGTATCGGTAGTTAGAATAAGAACAGAAAGTGATTCCATTGATGCTCAAGAAAGAAATGTTGCTACTAGTTCTCATATCGATATTGATAATGAGAATATAAATACCGATGATAGAATAGTTCCTAGACGACCTCCTATGGTACATACTAAATCAGCTTCTTCTATTCAAGTATTAACTCAAGGTGATAAAAAAGAACCTGAAACAATTGATAGTTCCTTATTAGCACATTATTTTAGTCTGAAGAATGGTATATTAATTAATAACGATCGTATAAGTTATACTGAAGTTGTATCAAGCACTCCATTAGCAACAGCTATTGGGCTTGCAAAAGAAAAGGTTGATAATGGTAAAGATTTAGTTGTATTGGGTCGTCGTAGAACAGCGCCACAAGTATATCGAACGGAATTCTTGGATATGGGTAAAAGTTACGGTAGCGAAACTCGTAAATGTTTGGGTATTGTTGCTGAAGCATTTATGGTTAGTGAAGTAGAAGCAAGTATTCTTGTTTTACAAGGAAAAAATGATGTGAGAAAACCTATATAATTTGTTGGGATTTATGGATTACGTATTCATGGATTAGGTTTAAAAATTTCTTTTTAAAAAAAGTTTGACTTTTAAATTAGTTTTTAGCAGATGAAAAGTTGGTTTCGAACTTTAATAAACTTGTAAAGGGTTTTAGTATTAAACGCAAATACTGTAGTATTTATATAGTTTTTTTTTTTAATTTTTTACATACAATTTTGGTTTTTAAAAATATTATATAGCGATAGCATTTATTTTTTAATTTGTAAATTTAACAAACTGGCAAGTTTATTGCTTATTTACTACCTAAATCTTTTTTTTTTAAAAAAAATGGTTAGTAAAAAAAATTAGTTTAAATAATTCAATAGGTGATGTTAAATTTGAAGCAATTTTAAACAAAATTTTAATATTATAAAAAAACAATGTTACTAGTTAGATTTTAATTTTTGTTTTTTTTATAGGTTAAGTTTTTAAAATCCATGTGTATAAATACAATTTTACTAAGTCATACTAGTGGTGTTCAACACCACAGTTGCTACATCTCAAAAACTATTAAATAATCAATGCTGGATATAATAATAAAAATATATATTAATATAGTATCTATATCAAAATCTTTAACTAAAATTTAAACCTATATTTTTATTATGTCGATTTTGTGAATAGAAATTAAACATGCCGGCCATCTAGTCATCCAATTCGAACGATTTTTTTATTTTATTTTGTAGAGCTTATTTAGCACCACAAAATAAAAAGTTTATTCAAATTGGATAACTAGATGGCAAATTTAATTTTTATTCACAAAATCAATATAGCTTTAGAGGGTTATTTTCCTAGCATAGATCCCATATATGATCTTGAACACCACTGGTGTAATTTAGTATTATTGTAAAAATTTTATATACTGTATACCTATATTATAAAAATTAATCTTTAATACTAATTTTAAAAACAATAAAATGAATTTCTATGTATATATTACAATTATATTAAAATTCCTTATGTTTATATCAACTTTA